ATGATAAGATCTGCTAAACTGTTATTGAAGGGGCTGTACCATTTTTCATTCTCAACAGCAATGAACGAGATTTCCTGTTGCTTTTCATCCTGTTTGGTATTGTCAGTTTTTTGGGGCTGTGTTTGTGTTTCTTTTTCCTCTTTTTTTTTTTGCCATTCTAATGTGCTATTATACTATTTGAATTTGTGATTCTCTAATGACAAATGATGTTGAACATCTTTTCACATGTTTATTTGCCATCTTTACATCCAAAGTATTTGTTCAGATTTTTTTTCTTTTTAAAATGAATTTTTTTTTTTATTGAGTTTTGAGTGTTCTTTGTATATTTGAACACGAGTTTTTTATTATAGGTGTTTTCCAATTATTTTCTAGCAGTTGGTGGTCTGTATTTTCATTTTCTTAATAGCATCTTTTGCAGAACAGAAATTTTTAATTTTAACCAAGTTCAGCTTATCAACTTTTCCTTCATAGATCATGAGTTTATTGTTTTATTTTTTTAATTGCCAAACTGAAAGTCTCCTAGTTTTTCTTCTAGACATTTTATAATTTTGCTTCTATATTTAAGATCTATGATACATTTTGAGTTAATTTTTATGAAAGAACTAGTGTCTGCTTATAGGTTCATTTCTGTGCATACAAATTTCTAATCTTTGCAATATTATTAGGTAAAAAGTATTTCTTCTACATTGAATTAATTTGCTCCTTTGTCAGTGATCAGTTGGTTATATTTGTGTGCGTCTATTTCTGGACTATGTTCTATTCTGTTAATCTATGTATCTTTTCTTTTGGCAATACTACAAGGTCTCCATTAGCTCTATTAAAATAGATCTTGATATTGATACTGTATGTTCTTAAAGTTTGTCTTCCTCTGTACTATTTTGTTGGTAATTTTAAGTCTTTTGCTTATCGCTATAAAGTTTAGAATCAGGTGGGTAATATCTAAAACAGCTTTCTGTGATTTTGAATGGGATCTATAAAGTTGTGAAGGACTGACAGCTTAACAATATTGAATTCTTCAATTCACATATGTATTTATTTATTTATCTCTTCTGTAATATTTTCATCAGAGTTCTGTAGTTTTCTGCATATAAGCTGCATATGTATTTTGTTAAATTTATACCTATGTATTTCCTTTTTTGGTACTATTATAATGGTATCTTTTTTATAATTTCATATTCTAATTTTTCATTGTTAGTATATCAGAAAGCAGTTGAGTTTGTATATTGTCGTTGTATCTTGCGATGTTTTTATATTCACTTTAATTCCAGGAAATTTTTCTTTTTGTAGGATCTTTGAGATTTTCTACAAAGATAATTATGACATCATGTCAATAAAAACACATTATTATTACGTTCTTAACTGCATAGCTTTTATTTTCCTTGTCTCATTGCAGTAGCTAGGGCTTTCAATCTAGTGTTGAATAGGTGTGCTGAGAGAAGATATTCTTATTTTGTTTCTTATCTTATGGGGAAAGCATCTAATTCTGTGTGTTATTGATTATAAGTTTTTTGGCAGATGTTCTTTATCGAGCTGGTAATGTTAATCTATATTCCCGATTTGCTGTGTAGTTTTTATTGCAAATTAATATTGGGTTCTTTATCAAGTTGGTAATGTTCATCTATATTCTCAATTTGCTGTGAATTTTTTAATTGCAAATTAATGTTGGTTTTTTGAAGAAGTTCTTTCTTCATCAAATAACATGATCACATGATTTTTCTTCTTCAGCTTGTTGACATGTTGAGGCACGCGGTTTGATTTTCAATGATGAATCAATCTTAAATAGCTGAAACAAATCACCCTTGTTTGTCATGAATAATTCTTTTCATATATTGTGGTTTCAATTTGGTACTGTTTTCTGGGACATTTGTATCTACATTCATGGAAGATATTAGTATGTAGTTTCCTTCTTTTTAATAAATTCATTACACTTTAGCAATATATAATATTGGCCCTATATAATGAGTTAGGAAACATGTTTCCTGTGTCTGTTGCCTGGAAGAGGTTGTGAAGAATTGTTTTTTTTTTTCTTAAATAACTGGTAAATTTTTCCAGTAAAACAATATGGGCTGCTTTATATTTTTGTTAGGTTGTTAATTAGTGATACAATAGAACTATTTTCTACTTACCCTTGTGGGAGTTAATAGTTTATATCTTTCAATAAATTGATAAATATTATCTAACATCAAATTTGTGAGAATAGCCCTGTTCAATGAACACCTGGGCTATCCTTTAATGACATCTACATCAGTAGTAATGATTAGTGTTTTATTTCTGATATTGATAATGTATGATCACTTTCTCTCTGTTAGTTTTACTAATGATTTAGCAATTTGATTGATATTTTAAAGTTTTCAGCTTTTTATTTTATTGATAATCTCCATTTTTTCCTATTTTCAGTATTATTGACTTTGCTCTAATTATTATGTTTTATTAATTTAGTTGTGTTAGGACTAAATCACTCTTTCCTACTTTCCTAAGGCAGCAGCTTAGGCTATTGATTTTTGATCTCTCCTTTTTTCCTAATATGTCTTTAATGTTATGAATCTCTCTTTAATTATTGATTTTCGTATATCTCATACATTTTTATAAGTTGTAATTTCATTTATATTTAGTTCTAAATATTTTTAAATTTCTCTTGAGATTTCTTTATTGTCATATATGCTATTTGAAAATATGTTGTACATGCAGTAAATAGTTGAGGATTTCTTAGTTATCATTTAGATATAGACTTATAGTTTAATTCCATTATGGTCTGAGAACATGCATTGTATGATTTCTAAACATTTAAATTATAAAGTTATGTTTTATTTCTCAGAAGGAGGACTCTCTATGCAAATGAAACACAGGAGTTTAAGGAGAATAGTCTGTTTTTGAATGAGATGTGCTGTGAATATCCGTTAGATTGAGTTTATTGATATTTTTCTTGATGTCAAATATCTTTACTAATTTTCTGTCTGCTTGTTCTATCAATTAATGATAAAAGTATACTTGAGTCTCTGTCTTAGTCTTTTCATACTGCTGTGATAAAATACTATATACTGGGTAGTTTATAATCAAAGAAGTCTGTTTTTCAGAGTTCTAAATACTGAGAAGCTCAAGATCAAGATGCTGGCAGTTTTGGTGACTGATGAGGTTCTACTTTCTGATCCTTAGATAGCATCTCCTCACTGTTTGTTTGCATGATGGAAGGAATGAGGAGGTTTTGTTTGGGCTTTTTTTATAAGAGGCTAATCTCATTTATGAGAGTTTTACCCTCATGACCTGTTATGGTTAATACTGAGTGTCAACTTGATTGGATTGAATGATGCAAAGTATTGATCTTTGGTGTGTCTGTGAGGGTATTGCCAAAGGAGATTAACTGGCCTAGTCTCCCAGCCTACATCTTTCTCCCACGCTGGATGCTTCCTGTCCTCGAACATCGAACTCCAAGTTCTTCAGTTTTGGGACTCCTTGCTCCTCAGCTTTCAGATGGCCTAATGTGGGACCTTGTGATTGTGATCATGCCACTGTACCCCAGCCTGGGCAACAAAGTAAGAACAAGTCTCAAAAGGAACTGAAAAGTACTGTGGCTATATTTTTCTTTTTCTTTATGCATTACTGTGCTGCCAGTTAATTCATTTATCAGCAACATCATTAAGTGAGTTAAAAGATATATGTATGTGTGTGTGTGTGTATATATGTGTGTGTATATAACATGTGTGTGTGTGTGTGTATGTATATATATAGACTCCCCTTTTTAATGTATATGTGTGTATATATGTGTGTGTATATACGTGTATATGTGTGTGTGCATGTATATATATATGCGTATATACACATATACACGTACACACACATATGCACACACACACACATTAAAAAGGGGAGTCTATATATATATATACACACACACACACACATACATATAATATATATAGCCTATTAGTTCTCTCCCTCTAGAGAACCCTGACTAATACATGACCTTATCACTGTCCCAAAGGCCCCACCTCCTAATACTATCATCTTTCATATACCTTTAGACTTATTATATTTTCTTGGAGAATTGGTCCCTTTAGCACTATACAATGCCACTCTAACACTTGGAATTTTATTGCACTATGGTTTTCTTTGTTGGAAATTAAATAGTTACAATAGCTTTCTTTTATTAGTATTAGCATGATGTAACTCTCTATTTATATACTTTCAATCTATGTATGTATCTATATTTAAGTGAATTTTTAATAGATATTGCATATTATTTTTTCTCTATCCTACCACTTTTTCTTTTAATTGCAATATCCAGACCACTCACATTTAAAATGATTACCGATATAGTTGTATTAATATCTACCATATTTATAAGTGTTTTCTATTTATTTTATATGTTTATTACATATGCATAGTTATTTAAAATTCCTTGTTTGACAATTCCAACATCTATATCATATTTGGTTCTTGTTATTATGATGCTTTGTCTCTTCAAAATATGTTTTTTCTTGCCTTTTGGCAGGCCTTATAACTTTTTGTTAAAGTCAGACATGATGTATCAGTTAATAAGGACTACATTATATGTGGCCTTTAGTGTGAAGATTTATGTTACTCTTGCTTGAAATAGGATTGTGTTTACTGTTTTCTATAGTTGTATGTGCTAAAGATTAAAATTCTTTTTCTATTCTTACTCTGTCTTCTACATTGTTTTGGGGCTTTTCTAATAATTGCTCTCAGGGAGAGTCTGAAACTAACGACTTTTTTGTTGCTGTTGCTGCTATTCCACTGAAATCTATTGGTGTAGTGGTAAATTATAGGAGAAAGAAAGTATTGTGCAATCTTATGACTAAATTCTGTTGGTTAGTGAGCTGTGTGTTTCTGGGCTGTGATTTTCAAGCATTTCTTAACTTTTTATCCCCACTTAGGTGAGACACGAAGGCAAGCAGTGTGATGTTTGAGAAGTTATCTTCTCTTAGATGGGATAACGCTGTATTAGCCTTTTCCCCTACAGATGAAATCTTTTGTTGGGTAAAACTTGAATTTATTTCATAATGATTATTCCTCCCTTCCCACCGCTAGAGCCAGGAAGGTATCCTTCTTGGCTCCTGACAGTGAGAGACTGATGGGGGTCCTGGAGAAAGTATCCACTTACACTGTAGCCTCAGAAGTTGCTCCTTCTCCCTGTAGTTCACACTCAGTCTTCAGCATTCATCAAGATTACTTGTTCTGACTTGCTGACCCCAGTAGCCTCTGCTCCAGAAGAATAGATCTTGGCAATGACTTTTGGATTCATCCTATCTCTCCATATTTCAAGATATCAGTTTGCTCTGTGACCTCAGGTCTCTGATAACTTCAAGAAAAGTCATAAGGTTTCAGTTTGTTAAGATTTCTCAACTTGTCAGAACTGAAGTGATGACTTTCAGACTCTTTAACTGTTGGAGCTAAAACTAGAAAAAGAACATTTCTTAAATGAAAAAGAACAGATTAAAATAGAAGTGGATCACATTTAGTAAATGTAAGAAATATTTTAAATTATATACAGAAATGTGCATGTGTGCAAGTATTTAATGGGCAAAAATAGAATTGATCAAACTTTTTAAAAAGTTAAAAACATACTGGCCTAGAGTACTGGTTTAGTTTTGTTTTTCTCAACTAATGGGTATTCAAATGCTTGGTGTATGCCTGATCTGAACCAGGTTAATATAAAATATAGGAAAAAATATATTTCCCATTCCAAATAAATCCCAGTCTACTGGCTGTAATACAACAATTTTTTCTCATAACTAGAAATTTGCAACACTCCAAGGAAATATTTCTATAGATATTAATTTAGTTTTGACAGTGTTGATCACTAAAGAGATAATTAACTAATTTTTAAAAAACTGGAGGAAAGGTTAAAGAAAAGCATTTGAAAAAATAATAAAAAAGAACAGTAGGAAGAATCCCAGTACTTCAACTTATACTGATACAGTCAAGCTTCTCACGTGAGTTTTTCTTTTAAATCATTATGTCATTCTGTTCTCATTGGGGAATAGTTTATTCACATTAGTTAATTTTCCACATACCTAAAACTTCACTTTTTCTATTAAAAAATATTTTTTACTCTAAAATGTGTCTGATTAAAACACATGAGGATTTGGATTAGAAGAGTATGTGTAGATCATTTGTTAGTACCAATCACCTTATCTTGATATATCCCACACTGAGGCTCTTTCCTGTTTTAGGTACCAGCCTCTTCCAAGGCACTTGTTTCAAAAAAATGTTTCTTAGGTATATAGTAAAAGGTTTTTCCCATTACCAAAAACAGGACTCCTGTCTTTGATGTCCAAACTAAAAACAACAATGAAGCAGACTTTTCCAAAACTACAAATCCAAGGAAAAAAAGTCCTGTAATTCCCATTTTTACAATGCACATAATCATTGTTAAGGTTCAAATGTGTCCCCCAAAATTTATGCGTTTGAAACTTAATTCTCAATGCAATCGTGTTGAGAGGCGAGACCTTTAAAATTGGTTAAGTCATGAAAGTCCTTACCTCATGAATGAATTAATTCCATTCTTTCAACAGTGGGTTCATTATTGTTGGAGTAGATTCCTAATAAAAAGATGAGTTCACCCCTCTTTTCTCTCTGTCTTCCTCGTGTGATGTCTTCTGACATGTTACAGAACAGCAAGAAGGGCCATGCAATATGCTAGTGCCTTGGTCATAGACTTTCCAGATTCAAGGTCCTTGAGAAGACAAATTATCATCCTATATAAATTATCCAGTCTTAGGTATTTTCTTTCTTATAGCAGCACAAGACAGACTAACACAATCATTTCCATTTTCCCAAACAGTCTTATTAAGCCATTTCAATGATGACGTAATTGAGTCTCACGGAAGTTAAGCAACTTAGATAAAGATAAAATCAGTGCCTCAGTAGTAGAAAGCTAATAACATGTATAGCAAATTCAAACTTATACCAAAGTTTATATGAAAATATAGAATGTTAACCACTGTCTTCATATCTACAATTTGCTTTGGAAATAAATTATCGTTTTTTTCACTTAACTAACATTTTAATACAAATAAAATAGCAAAAGCTTATAATATGGAGAACAGTTGATTATTTAAATCTGTACATTCAGAACTGTTATATACAAAAGCGTATTAAAAAGTCATGTTTACCTCAGAATTTGTAGAATAAATAAAAAAATATAATGTATTTCAAGGAAGATAAAAATCTATAAAGATTTTCCCAAGGAAATGCATGATTTAAGTTAAAATACATTATTAAAATAATGTATTTATTTTAATAAATACATTATTTAAGATTACTATAGATTTGTATCTTTATCACTAAGTAAAGCTGCATCCCAATTTTATGGTAAAATATAAAATTAATTCTCAAAAATATATATGAAGAACTAGTAAACTGGACTTTGTAAACTTAGATCCCAGGCCAATGTGTAATACTAGTTTTTGTCACTGGTGAAAAAAAACTTACCGTGAATCTCTATTTCTTCTTTTTAAACTAAAGAATGGTAAGTTTTATGACTTCATAAGCCCCTTTGAGTTCTAAAGTTGTCCATCTGGTTTTACTTACACATGAATTCGTCAGAGATAGTAAATCTTCTGTTTTATTTTTATTCACTCTATGTTTCTTGTACTTGTATGAAGGCTGACCATAATTGCTGCTGGATATCAAACACCTCATTATTAACAATGCGGTTGTCTACAGATTTTATGTTTTTAATTTCAAATGCCTGAAAAAAATAAGAGTTATTTTTACTGAGAAAAGTTCTTTAACTTAATAATTTTTTTTCTTATTGAGTTGATACATTTTCATTTTTCTTTTCGTAGAAGTCTTATTTCTACTTTTCAATAAATAAATTTATGACTGCCAACAACTTTCTCAAAGTCACAGTTGATTTCACAGATGATCATAAAAAGACTAGAAACAGCTAAAATAATGGAAAAAGTGACTGCCTGATAGAACACTTTTGTTGCATGTATTCATGTATAACAATTCAAGATGAAAATATGAGACTACCACTACATTCAACAAGTAGTTCAAAAATAGCTAAGATTAAAAATTTTCTCAGCTATATTTCTGCATTTTTCTGGACTTTTGATGCTTTCATTTTTAACTATGTGATTATTGATATACATGACTTTTTGGTCACTATGCAATGACATTATTTAAATTTCTGCTTTGACCACTCAACCCAAAACTTGTAGTTTAAAATATTATTTATTTATGTCACTATTCTGGGAGTGTACAGTTTGGGCCACATAGATCTGTGTTAAGTTTTCCACTGGTTTTGGCAAGACTCATGTGAAATGTGGTCAGCTGCCAGGTTGTCTCATGGCTCATTGGTTTCAAGGAGTCTCTTCTTTGATAGTTTATATCTGCCTCCTGTAGGTCAGCCCAGACTTACTCAAATGGTGACAAGGTCCACCATGACAGCAAAAGTGGAATATGTAAGTCTTCCTAAGGTCAAGACTTCAAATTCTTCCATCATTTCTAAATTTTATCATTCAAAGGAAATCACCAGGGCAGCTCAGATTCAAAGGGCATAAATACAAACTACACATTGATTAGAATAGCTGCAAGATTCAGGCATGTTGGCTTATGTGTGTAATGCCAGCACTTTGGGAGGCCAAAGCAAGAGGGCTGATTGCGCATAGGAATTTGAGGCTGCAGTAAGCCATGATCATGCCACTGTACCCCACCCTGCCTGAGCAACAAAGTAAGAACACGTCTCAAAAGGAACTGAAAAGTAGTGTGGCTATATTTTTCTTTTTTCTTTTTGCATTTACTGTGCTGCCAGTAAATTCACTTATTGGCAAAGTCATCAGCAAAGTCATATGTGTTGAACAAATGTTTGGTTGAATATGCATGAAATAAAGAGATGAAGATAATATAATTCAGTATGAGGCTAATTACTAGATTCCCAAATTGTGACCTTAAATAATGACTATTAAGTATCATGTTAGACATTCTTCAGATAAAATTTAGGACCATTTGTGATGGCTACAACAAATGCTTGGAATAGTCTTTAAAAAAACTAACAGTAGACATATTCTGCCCTTAAGTACGGAATAAATCATGGGAATAATCAACCTGTCTCATGCAACAAAAAGTGTGAGAAAAATATTGTTTACCCCAAGAAAAAAATTTTTTTTTTTTTTGAGATAAAGTTTCACTCTCGTTGCCCAGGCTAGAGTGCAACGGTGCAGTCTTGGCTTACTGCAACCTCCACTTCCTGGGTTCAAGCGATTCACCTGCCTCAGCCTCCCAAGTATCTGAGATTATAGGTGCCCGCTATCACACCCAGCTAATTTTTTTTTTTTTTCCTGAGATGGAGCCTTGCTCTGTCGCCCGTGCAGGAGTGCAGTGACGTGATCGCGGCTCACTGCAACCCCTGCTTCCTGAGTTCAAGCAATTCTCCTGCCTCAGCCTCCCAAGTAGCTGGGACTACAGGAGCATGTCATCACACCCAGCTAGTTTTTTTGTATTTTAGTAGAGACGGGGTTTCACCATGTTGCCCAGGCTGGTCTTGAACTCCTGACATAGGGTGATCCACCTGCCTTGGCCTCCCAAAGTGCTGAGATTACAGGTGTGAACCACTGTGCCCATCCCCAAAGAAATTTTTAAGTGAGGACTATTCCCTGGTATTGGAGGTAGAAACTATATTCATTCATTAATTCTATAGATAACTGACTATCTAATTTAGAGATATAACATAAACCACACATTTAAAAATCCCTGCTTTAATAAACTTATAATATAGAAGGATAATTTGTAAATAGAATAAAGAACAGTATTTCAAAATTCCCAGTTTGAGCCTAATCGATATTTTCCCTGAGTTTAACATTTCTGTAAGTCTCATGGGAAAGTCCTGTTTAAGGATTTCCCTTCATCTTTTTACATTAAAAGTCAAGGAGCTAAAGAGTCAAAATATGGGAACAACTCAAAAATCTATCAACTGATAAATGGACGACCATTATTGGATGAAGTATTATTCAGTCACAAAAAGGAATGAAGCACTAATAGATGACACAATGTGGATCAATTTCTGAAACATTAAGTATAGTGTTTCACTTAGTAAAGTGAAAGAAGCCAGTAATGAAAGACAACATTAGTGCGGTTCCATGTATATGCAATGTCCCTAATAAGCAAATCTATAGAGACAGAAAGTACATTAGTGGTTACCTAGGGCTAGAGACAATGGGAAAGTTGTAAGGTGAAGAGTACAAGGTTTATTTTGGGAATGACGAAAATGTTCTAAAATGGACTATGCTGATTATAGCACAACTCTGTGAACACACTATAAAACATTGAATTATATACTTTAAATGCATGAATTCTATGGTATATGAATTTAATCTCTGTAATTTTTTTCCTTTAAAAAAATCACATGGAAAAGAATTTTCTTTCCTGTAATGGGAGAGCAGCTTATGTTCACATGTTTCTATCAGAGTTCCATAAAAAGAAGAGAGAAAAAATTATACACAAAATTATTTGAAGAATTATTTCCTGAAAATTTTTCAAATTTTGTAATTTACAGTAAGCCAAAGATTTTAAGATTGAAGCAAATTTCAATAATGTTAATTAAAAAGAAAACACCACCTAATCACACTAAAATTAAATTTGAGACTTAAAGATTAAGAAATAATCTCAAAAGCAGTAAGGAAAAAATACATATTAAATATAGGGGAACAGTGGTAAAAATAAAAGGTCTCTTTCTCTACATAAGTGTATGTATATATGAATATATATGAGTATGTATATGGCCATATATAAATATATCTATAAATACATGTAGATACACATAAATGCACATAAATATATAGATGATTATAAATATATGTGCATCTATCTACACACTCAGACACAACACACACACGCACACACACACAGAGGTTTATTTATAAAAATTGGTTCATGCTATTGAAAAAACTAGCAATTCCAGTGTCTTCAGGGTAAATGGACAGGTAGAAGACACAAGGAAGAGTTGAAGTTAAATCTGAAGGCTGTCTGCTGGCAGAATTTATTCTTCTCTGGGGGAGATCATCCTTAATTGTCTCAAGACTTTTAACTAACTGTGGGATAAGGTTCACACATATTATGGAGAGTATTTATTTTACTCAAAGTCTACTTATTTAAATATTAATCTCATTTAAGAAATACCTTCACAGCAATATTCAGACATGTATGAACAGATATCTGGGTACCATGGACAAGCCAAGTTGGCATATAAAATTAACCATCACAACCTCCAAACGAAATTGCCAATTAAATAACAAGACAATGCAATTAGACTGGCATCAGACTTATCAAAACAATATAAAAAGCAAGCCTTTAATGGAGCATCATTTTTTAAAGAAATTTAATTTAAAAATGAGTGAAAAAAGAATGTTTACTATTAAGTTGTCCACCAAGTATCAAAGCTATTTAAATATTGTTTTAAATAGTGAATAGCCCAGGGTATACTATCCTCATTAGCTGTTCTCACGTAATCAACTAGAGTGGTCAGAAAAGGTTTTGTTAAGGAGTCACATAATGAATATTTTAAGCTTTGTTGGTTCTATGTGTTCCTGTCATAGTTTCTTCTTCTTTTGTTTTTCTACAACTGTTTAAAATTGTGAAATACATCTTTCATGGACTATAATTTAACAGGATGTATGCCAGATTTGGCCCCTGGGAGCATATTAATTCCTGTGTTAAAAAACGTGCTTCATCTAACCAAGAGATGACTGAATGAACACTGGCAAAAGCACTACTGATGAACATTTAATTGTAAAGGCAAGGGCCAAAAAATTATTATATATATACACATATACACACATACATATGTGTACTTCAATATGTATACATATGTAAATAAAAATGTATTCTGACAGAGTCAAAATAATGAATGTAAAGGATGGTAGAAAAAGAGAGATGGGAATAAGAAATATATATTCATTGAATAATGAAAAATCAATAGGTGGCAATCAAAAGATGCCATAAAAAGTAGCAGAGTAAAATGTAAAACAAAATAAATAAAAAGAGATTAAAGGCTTTTAAAAAAGTAAAGGTATAAAGATAACCACAGGATCAAAACTACTGATATTTCTAAATATCAAGTAAATTCGTCAATAAAATACATCAAATAAAATACAAATAGCAATTATAAATCTGACAGCTGAGACCAATAACAGTCATAGAAATAAATATGAATAGACTTAATTGTTAGAAGAGAAGATTTTCATTTTGGCTAACAAAAAAACTACCCAACTACATGCTAAACACCAGAGATACTGACAACAGAAATTCACAGGATCTAAAATAAGAGTTTCTTGGTTTCTACAACTTTTTGAGTCTGAGATTTTACGTATTGACTTGTAGCGCATTCTATTTGTCAAATCAAGTCATACGGCCATCGAAATTCAGATAAAAAGCAAACTAGTCCTTCATCCAAATTCAGATAAAAAGCAAACTAGTCCTTCACTGGAGTTGCTGCAAAGCCATTGTAAAAAGCCATGGATGTTAGAAAATAATATTTGTGGATACTATGATATTATTTCAAACAACTTACCACATCTGGTATTGCATTACACTTAATCTTCACAGAAATGCACATGAAAAGTATTACTATTATTTTTCTTAATTTACGGTTATGGGAATTTTGCCTCATGGATGTTAAACCGCTTGTCCAAGATTATATGACTTTTAAAATGACATTATTAAGACATAAATCAATTTTTGTTCAACTCTAAAACACATGCTACTGAAGATTACACCACGCTAATTGGTTCTTTCCCTGTTCTGGAGTTCAATGTATTGCATGGAAAATCTTATTTCACAGCCATATCATGGCATTTGGCTTCTATTCTCTATCCCTGTGCTGAAAGTGTCTTCAAAGGAAACTAAATGCTAAGAGAAAGTAATTTACTTATTTGCAAATATTATGATTGTCTACATAGAAAACCCATGAGAATGATAGAAATGATGACAAGTAAGAGAGTTTGGAATGTAGCAAGTCACAGAATTAATAAATATATAAACATGAATGGTTTTCCTTGATATCAGTCATGACTGGTTAAAATGTAAATAATTAAATAAAGCACATGGATAATAGCAAAAATGATGAGAGAAATACAAGTTTTCATGTTTTATCCTGGTCTTCAATCTCAAAAATACAAACTCTTCTATGTGGAGATTTCATGCACACTGCAGACTTAATATTGCAAATTGAACTCATCATTATCATGTCCCTCTATCCTACTTCACCTTATGGATTCCCTTGCTCAACTCATGGCATTCCCATGTCCTTATACCCATGTTGAAAGTCTGAAGTTATTGGCTTCATTACTTGAATATCTCCTCTCCTTACACCTCAAATCTATATTTTTGCTAACTTTTCCTCTAAATGTCTTCATAGACTTCATTTATAATTTTCATAAAATAAAATACATGTATTTTAATGTATGTTTGTTGTTTTGATAAATGTATCCACCTATAGAAACACCACTTTAATCAAGCTATAAAATATTTTCAAAATCCCAAAAAATGTACACATAACTTCTTAGAGTCAGAGTCATCCTCCCAAGGCAACCACTGAACTGAGTTTTATCACCACAATTTAGATTTACCTTTTCTTTTCTAGAACATTAATAAACAGAACCATACTGTGCGTACTCTTTTGTATGTGACTTATTTTGTTCAACACAATATTTTTCAGATTCATTCAGGTTGTGTGTAACATTAATTCATTAATTTTTTATTGCTGGATACACTAAGCCAAATATTTCTTAGGTAATTTTGTCTTCACCAATGCTTAGGTTACAAATCTCTTTCTAATTTGTGTCTTTCCTATTAATGGCATGATTTACTTTCATTATGACTTTTTCGAAAGTCTCTTTCATACTGTTTCAGAGCACTATTATAAAAAGCCCCCAATCTAACTATGCAACTCCTCTACAAAATATCCATCAATGGATTCTCTCAAATGATAGATTAAAAGAATAAGCCCCTTACCATAGCATCCAGGATCATTCAAGATCCGTTCTTTTCCTCCTTTGCCTGCCTTATCTCATTATGATTCAGAACTTCCTAAGTACATTTACATTTCATCATATTTTATTTTAGCTCTCCTTTGTTTTGCTCTACATTATTTGCTTTTCAAGCCTAAAAGAGTTTTCTTTGCTTCTTTGTTTAGGTGAGAGTTTCTTCACAATTTGAATAGGAAAGTATAAGGCAGAGAAGACATGGTAATTTAGGACAAAAAGAATAGTGTTCAAAATGTTGATGCATATTTTAAAAAGCATGATGAGATGGTGTGTATGGATGAGTAGAAATCATGAAAGTATTTCTGATATTGTTTCAGCTAGATCTCTCAGGGGGTTTTGCAGGAGCTGACATTGAAAGTCTAGGCTGAGTTGACATCAAATGTTCTGCAAATTAATTCATTGGCCATTATCTAGCAAAAGTGATGGAAAATGATTGAAATGTTCTGAATGTTATATTAGTTATCTATTGCTGCTGCAACTAAGTACCACAAATTTAGTGGTTTAAAACAACACAAATTTATTATTTCACAGTTTTACAGGCCAAAAAGTCCAATTCGACTCAATTAATTCATATGACCCAAGAGTTACAAGGCTAAAGTCAAAGTATTTATTGGCTGGGCACTTCTCTGGAGGCTTTGGGCTTCTATTCTCTATCATTGTGCTGAAAGTGTCTTCAATATGAGAAAGAATGGGGATACCAATAAGAAACTAAATGCTAAGAGAAAGTAATTTACTTACTTGCAGATACTATGATTACACAGAAAACCCATGAGAATGATAGAAATGATGGCAACCTAACAGAGTTTGCTAATGTAGCAAATCACAGAATTAATAAATATATAAACACGAATGGTTTTCCTGGATATCAGTCATGACTAGTTAAAATGTAAATAATTAAATAAAGCACATGGATAATAGCAAACATGTGCAAACTCTGTTAGGTTGTCATCATTTCTATCATTCTTATGGGTTTTCTATGTAGACAATCATAGCATCTGCAAATAAGTAAATTACTTTCTCTTAGCATTTAGTTTCTTATTGGTATCCCCATTCTTTCTCATATTGAAGACACTTTCAGCACAATGATAGAAAAATAGAAGCCAAATGCCTCTTTCTCATATTGAAGACACTTTGAGCACAATGATAGAGAATACCTTTCCAGTTCATTCAGCTTGTTAAAAGAATCCAGTTTCTTATACCTGTAGAACTGAGGTCCCTATTCTTTAATGGCCGTCAGCTAGGGCTGGCCTCTAGCTCCTAGAGGTTTCTTTCTCTTCCTTATATATGGCTCTCTCACTTAGAACAAGCAATGGCTCATCAAATCCTTCTCATACTTGGCATCTCTCTGACTTCACTTTTTGCTGCTTATCTTCTAGCACGTCTCTTCTGCTCACATCTAGACAAACTTTTTTTGTTTGCTTTTAATGACCTGTCTAATTACACTGGGCCCATCCAGAAAATCCAGGATAATCCCCCCTTTTACAGTCCATAACCTTAATTACATCTGCACGGTCTCTTTTGACATGTGACATAACATATTCCCTAGTTCCTGGAGATTAGTATGTGGATGTCTTTGGGAGATGAAATTTGATAAGGTCAGATTTAGGTTGTAAAAGATGCTTATAGATGACTTACATCTCCACGAAAATTCATGCATTGAAACTTATTTATAAGTGGGGTAATTGAGAGGTTATTAGTCCTTTATAATAAGCACCCTCCACCTTCCTCAGTGAGCTCCCTTGTTACTTCTACCACGTGAAAACACAGCAAAAAGGCAACCTTCTAAAAACCAAGAAGTGGGTCCTCACCACACAGCAAATCTGCTGGAGCCTTTATCTAGAACATGCCAGCCTCCAGAAGTGGGAGAAATAAATTTCTATTGTTTATAAATTACCCCGTCTATGGTATTTTGTTATAGCAGCCTAAATGGACTAAGAGAGAAGGTTTATTCTGGTAACTGGGTGGAAGTTATATGTGGACATAGCAGATGCCTCTGTTGCCTGCATTATATTCCTTCAATCCACTTGTGATTTCAGTCACATCTTGTGAGATCACATTCACCAAATTTTCCCACTGTCTTACCTCAATTGCAAGCTGTAAAATTTATAATTTGCTCAAGGAACTTTTTATTGCTGTAGTTTATCCATAAGCATAGCCCAGAAGTCCTAGTGGGGAGGTAGAATAGGGGCGTTTTAAGGCTCCCAGGTTTAGATCCTCATCTGTGAAGGATGAAAGTTGATTGATAAATGCACCCCTCCCATTTTGCATGCGATGAGTCTTCACATTTATCAACAATCCCAGTGGATTTGAGCCTGGTTCCCACACCAGCAACTCCTTCCCTAAACACTGCTGCCTGCGATCACTTCCCAAATAGATTGCCTGTCAGTGCCCATCTCCTTGTCTCAAGTTTTGTATTTGAGATAATTTTAACCAAGACAAAAAGCAAGCTGTCATATTTATAGAGAGGCCACTATCATATTTTATTATGAGGGTCTGAAAGTGTTAACCAAGGCAGTGGCAAAGGGCTAAATGAAAGAAGATAGTTTTAAGACATGTAACTGATTATATTTAGAAACATATTGACTATGGAATGGAGAGAGTGAGAGGATATTTGAGAAGGTTAACTTGCAAGGAAGGCAGGGGAAGAAAAGTGAGGTAGTATTATATCTATCTGTTCCCAATATGGACTTTAAACTAATCTGAACCAATGATAAACCTGGACACTATCTAGATTTAAGCATCAAATATGCAGTAAGTACTTAATTACTCCAAAGTACTTCATTAGTATATTAATTAATTCTAATGTTACAGAGTATGGAAATCTTAAACTCTTATATAGTGCTTACTATAAGCCAGGTACTGTTCTAATCACTTTATGATGTAAAACAATTTTATCCTCTTAATATCCTTATGGGTAGATACTATTAAATGACCCCTATTTTAAATATAAGAAAACTGAGATACAGAAAGATTTAATAACTTTCCCAAGTTTACACAGTTTTAAGTAGTAGTGCTGGGGTTTGAACCCAGGGCCATCATGCTCTTGAGTTGGAGATTTTAGTTCTACACGATTCTGTATCTCTTAGTATTAATAATACTAGTATGTTTTCTAGTAATACTAACATAAGTATGTGTGGTCATGGGAGATTGAAAACACGGACACAATATTTTACAGTCCTTCTATCAAAAGGTAGAGGCTATTTCCCCAAATCTTGAATTCAGGCTGGCCCTGTGATTTGTTTGACCAATAGGTGTAGGCAAATTAAACATTACGTGAGTTCTACAGAATAGCCCCAAGAGTCCTTGTTGTTTATGCTTTTTCTCTCTTTTAAGGAAGCTAAGTCACACTGCTAACTGACGAGAGACCAACTTGAAAGAGGGAGGATCTGCCAATAGCCAACACCACAACTCCAGATATATGGGAGTCAGGTCATCATAAACCATCCATCTTTCTCCCAAGTCACAGTAGACTGCAACTCCATGAATGAGACAAGGAGGTATCGGTAAAAACAAAACAAAACAAAAAACAATAACTGCCTGGTGTAACCACAGAATCTTAAGAAATAATAAATCATTTTAATACAATGTTTTGAGTCGGTTTGTTATACAATGGTAGATAACTGACTATGATTAACAGAGAGGCTACTTACAATAAGAAATAAAGCTAGCTGCTGTGGGAAATAACAAGGTAGTAAAAATATGTTGCTAAAATTAAGAGGTAGCAGTAAGACTTCACCTTGAGGAAGACAATGATGGAATAATTAAAAACTATAAAAACAAATCTAGAATATTTTAAAAGATTCCTTCAGATAAGATCTTAGAATGGAGAAATAGTAACCAATGAAGAAACGTTTGCTCCTAAACTACATGTTTTCCTTGTCTGTGAAACTATTGCAAATTCACATTATAAATAGTGTGTTTTTATGAACACAGTTATTTTAAAGATATAAAAAGAACTGAAAGGAAGATGAGCTTTGAAGTCAGATAAGACAATATTGTAATACTTACGTTACAATTATCTGGATGGTTTTGAAACAGTTACTGGAGGTCTTTTTACCTCATTTCTGGTCTGTTAAATGGGAATGTTGGCATCTGATTTATAGACTTGTTTGTTAGTTAAGTACACTGACATAAGTAGACAGTTATTTTAGTGTCTAGTTTAAAAATTGGTGTGCAAAAATTGTACTTTACTTCACCCTTAACTTGTTGTAGGAGAACTTAAAGAAATATCCATAGTTCATTATATCACAACGAATATGGTGCCACTTTCTCAATTATATTTCTAATGAATTAGAATTTTCCATTGCAACTTTTACACCGAGGTACGCCTAAAACAGTGTGGCTTTCATTTTAGCTAACCCAATTGATAATAAATTAAAATATTTATCATTATAAAATAATAAACAAAATAATATATAATATTAATTAAAAATATATATTATTACTCTTTAAAAAAAATTCTTATGTCTTCCAGGCTATAGGGCAAAAACTGGGGTCCACAGAATGCTTGCTCAATCAACTTTGCTCATCCAAAATCACAAAAATCGCCTCAAAAAATGTTGATGATAATTTAATTTTCTTCACTCTCCATGAAGATGTTAAATGCTCACTCTGGGCAAGGAAAAAAGACAGACTCATCAATTGTGTTACTGATGATATTCTTGCAAAAGAATTTTCTTTTAATTGAAAAAGTTGAATATGAGCCAGGCATGGTGGTTCACGCCTGTAATCCCAATAGTTTAGGAGGCTGAGGTGGGTGGATCACTAGAGGTTGGGAGTTTGAGAGCAGCCCGGACAACAGAGCGAACCCTGTCTCTACTAAAATTACAAAAAGTTACTGAGAGTATTGCTGGGTGCCTGTAATCCTACCTACTTAGGAGGCTGAGACATGAGAATCGCTTGAACCCCGGAAGCAGAGGCTGCAGTCGGCATGGTCAATAGAACCAGACTGTGTCTTTAAAAAAAGAAGGAAAAGCTGAATATGGCACTGTAGGTGCTACTATTCAATTCTGACTGTCTACATTCCTGTACAGCTAGAATGACTATAACTGACAAAATAGTATTAAGATGGTATTTATCCATTCCGTATGACCCTATTGTTTGTAATTACAGAGATCATTGAAGCCACGTACATGAACATCAATAGCAGCACTCCTTCCCAAGACTTACTCCACCTCCCACATTTTCTTTAATTATCAATAATGCTCTGCTTCTACTATAGGTATATACATACAGATAAACCTATAAACTCTAAGAGTCATTTGAAAAAAGTCTATCATCAGAAGAAGCAATGTTGAAAATAATTTCTATTATATGTATTATTTTATTCATATTCCAAACAGTTGAAAAAAACCACAAGTAATTAAATTTGATAATTTAGTATGCAGAAAAGTTCTATCATGTGAAAATGGTATGTTTCTGCCACTGGCAAATGGTATTACATAACTCCATGCTTTATTTTAGCTTTGGAAAACATAAAAGTAAATGCAAAATATATTTACTCATCTTGATGGCTCCTGGAATATTTATTTTTGTGCCTCCTCCAAAGGATTTTTGTAATTTGAGTTACTTGTTTAGTTGTGTGTAAATCTTTTATAAAATTCCTTAGAAGTAAGCAAATAAAATCACTGATAACCAGGAAAAAAAGCACAAATGAATCCCTCCATGCAGCACCACATCTTCTATGCCCCTGAAAAACAAGAAAAGATAAAGTAAACAAAATCCACATGAGCCTCTTGAAGTAGTAAAAGTAATAGATCCGGAGTTAGGGAATCAACTTTGCTAAGCTGGTGTAAGACAGATTACTTGTATGATTTGGGGCAGCATATCTCTAAGACAAGATAATTGGGCACAGTATTTCTTAAGATTCTTTATGCCTCTTTTGCTTTAAAAAATTATAAAAATATTTCTAATAAAAATACAAAGAATATTTCCTGTTACCTTTATCATCATTTCAAATTAATTTATATGCTACACTGAAATTTTAAAGATACTTAATCTGGAAAGGAATAGACAAAGCTATTTAAAAGCCTTCTAAAATAAATAGAGGTAATTTTACTTTAGGAAGTGGAAATAATGTCTTTTATGTTTTTGTTTGTTTTTAATCAAAATTATTTTTAGACTGCTATATGTAAGCATAGTTTATTCCTTCTTTTGACCAAGTGACATTTTAGGTATATTTAAGAAATTATGAGCAATTAGAACTTAATTAAAATGCGGTGAATTGAAGGGTTTAAAAAGGTGATGTGACTTCTGCTTTTTTATTCTGCATATAAGGAGTTTGGACGTTGCCACAAAAACAGGTAAAAAGCTTTAACAAGTGTAAAAGTAAACTGAAAAATCAATTCTTAGATCTGTAAGAGAAGTAAGGCCACAGAGCAAACCACTGCCCTCAAAACTGGAGAGAGAGAACAGCAGAAACAGAGAAATCATAACTTACTGGAGCAGAAACCCATGAGCAGAGACCTACTGGGGAACCAATACTAGGGGAGAAAAACTTAAACAAATTTCTGGAAGGCCAGCCCTACACTTATTTGGGTTTTATCTTTAGGGGATCTACCAGATCCTCACATTGAATATTAGAGAAAAAACTCCTTGTGTTTCTAGAAGAGAGAGGAGGAAAAGGAACTGTTTTTGAAACATGCCAGAGCATTCTGTTCTTCTTAACAAGGCTGCTGTTAGGAAAATCTATTTTGCCAAAGCCTAATCAGCTGAGGTTACCAGAACCTATATTACCAGGGGGAAGGGAAACACCCAGCTCCAGCTTCTGCAGCCTTCACTGTGGGGGAAGAGAAATACATAATTACAGTTCACTTCAGCCATTTTGTCTCACCTAAGGCAGGAGAAATTGAGAAGCAACAATAAAGTTCACAGTCCAGGGACACAGGTTCACAGAAAGACTGAGACCTAATCATAGGGCTATGCAATGTTTCTTCCATCACACCTTACCACTACATTATAAAAGACCTACTTACCACAGTTCCTTTTAGCTGGTATTTAATGTCTGTCTTTAAACAAAAATTACAAGGCACACAAAAAAGGAAAAGACAAACAGTTGAATACATGAACGGGTATCCTAACCAGACTCACTTATGTCAGGAATGTTGGAATTATCAGAGCAGGATTTTTAAAAAATTAGGATTAATATGTTAAGTGTATTAATGAAAAAAAGTAGTCATCATACAAGAACAGATAGATAGTTCATTTCAAGCAGAGTGATGGAAATTCTGAGAAAGGATAAAAAAGAAATGCTAGAGATAAAAACACTGTAACAGAAATAAAGAATGCTTTGATGTGCTCATTAGCAGAATGAACATGGCTGAAGAAAGTATCTCTGAACTGAATAATATGACCATAGAAACTTCCAAATTAAAAAGCAAGCAGAAAAAGACTGATAAAAGAAAAAACAGAATATTCGAGAACTGTGGAGCCACTATAAAAGATGGGAGAGGACAAAACTTTGAACATCACAAGGAAAACAGTTTTATAAAGGCTTTCTCCATTCAACAATATAAATTGGGCTTTAAATATAAAACTACTAAATAAGTCATTGTATATAAATTCCTTATCTTAGTCTTTTTTCAAAAGAAATATGATTTTTAACAAAAACAAAAATTATTTTTTAAAATATTTTTAACAAGTAGTAGAAAAAGAAAAATGGTTTAGGTAAAAAAAACCTGTTATCTATATAAAGAGAAGAAGAATATCAGAGCATAAGTGAAGGTCAAATATAAACTTTCATTTTTCTTATTTATAATTTATCTAGCATAGTTTATTATAAGCTATAGCAACAATGTATTCATGTATGCATACTTGCATGTGTGTATATGTACATACACTATATATATGCTTATGTATAAGTGAAACGAATGACAATAATGATAAACGGGTTGGGTGAAGAATTAGAAATATTTTGTTATTATAAGGTATTTGTACTCCACATGAAATGGTATAGCGCTCTTTGGTTTTTTGGTTTTTTTTGCGGGGGGATGGAGTCTCCCTCTGTCGCCCAGGTTGGAGTGCAGTGGTGCAACCTCGGCTCACTGCAAGCTCCACCTCCTGGGTTCCCGCCATTCTCCCACCTCAGCCTCTCTAGTAGCTGGGAATACTGGTACCTTCCACACGCCCAGCTAATTTTTTGTATTTTTAGTAGAGATGGGGTTTCACCATTCACAGGATGGTCTCGATCTCCTGACCTTGTGATCCATCAGCCTCGGCCTCCCACAGTGCTGGGATTACAGGCGTGAGCCACTGCGCTCGGCTGGTATAGTGTTTTTTGAGAGTGGACTTCATTTTATTGTAAATTATATAGTAAATTTGAGTGCAACTACTAAAAAGGAAAAAAGAAATTAAAAAAGAAGTGTAATGTTATGCTAAAAAATGAGAGAAAATGGAATCATAAATGATAAATTAAATCAGAAGAGACAAAAAATTGTCAAAGGCAAAAATGAAAACCAACAAAGGCAATAAATAGAACACTGTAAAAAATATTGTACAGATTATTCAATAATCACATTAAACATTATTGTTCTAAATATAATTAGGAGATAGAGATTGTCAGAGTGGATCAAAAACAAGACTCAACTGTATGTTGTCTATAAGAAATCCATCTTAAACATGAAAATGCTTATAGGTTAAAAAGTGAAGGAATGGAGAAAGATATAGCGCGCTAACACTTATCCAAAATCAGTGACAGTAACTATACTATTGATAGCATATAATGTCGAACATCTTGTAACATGCATACTTGTCTCCTGTGTATCTTCTTTGTTGAACATAGTGTCTGTTTCTGTCTTTTGCCCATTTTTTAACTAGGTTATTCATTTTCATATTGTTGTCCCTTAAGAGTTCTTTTTATACATTGCACAATCATTCTTATCAGATGTCTCTTTTGCAAATATTTTTTCCAAATATGTAGCATGTCTAATTCCAGGGAGAGAAGGCTTCAGAGCAAGGCTAGTTATCAGGGACAATAAGGGGCATATATAATAATAAAGGAGCTAATACTTCATCAAGACATAGCAATCCTTAACATGTATGTCCTTAGAGAACACCAATGCATGTTAAGCAAAATACAAGAGTGCTGCAGATTCTGCACATGTATCCCTGAACTTGAAGTACACACACACACACACCACACACACACACACACACATCAAAAAATAAAAAATAAATAAATAAATTATATGATCACATTAACAGTTGAAGAAAAACATTGACGGGGCATGCTAAGCTGAATCCAGCATTGAGCGAGACCAATACATCAAAAAATTAAACGTGAAAATCTACTAAAAAAAAAAAATAGGGCAAGGGGGCCTGTATCCAGCTACTTGAGGAGAGAAATGAAAGCGAGTGCATAGAACCCACATCCATGAAAGCAGATTCAAAAAAAAAAAAAAACAAAAAAACATTTGACAAAATCCAGCACCTTTTCGTGATAGATTGTTTTGTTTTGTTTTCAGAACAAATAGAGGAGGACCTACCCAATTTGATTTTAGAAGAAAATCTACAGCTAACATCAGACAGTCATGTGTCACATTATGACAGATACACATTCTGAGAAATGTGTCATTAGGCAATTTTGTTGTTGTAAGCATATCATAGAGTGTACTTATGCAAACCTAGATGGTCTAGCCTGCTACACAGGTAGACTAAAAGTTATAGTCTATTGCTTCTAGGTGGCAAGCTTGTTTTGAATATTACTATACTGAATACTGTAGGCAATTGTAACATAATGGTAAGTGTTAGTGTATCTAAACATGCCTAAATACAGAAAAGATACTGTAAGAATGTGGCATTCTAATCTTATGGAACCATTATTATTAATGCAGTCTGTCATTGACCAAAATGTGGTTAAGCAATCCATGGCTTTACTTAATAGCGAAAAATTAGAAGCTTTGGCACTCACATCAGGAACAAGGTAAGATTTCCTCTCTCATCACTGTTTTTCAATGTACTGGAAGTCCTAGTTAATACAAAAAGTCTGTTTATAGATAACATGATTGTCTAGATAGAAAATCCAAACTAATTGCTCCTTGTGGAATTAATAAGCAATTATAGAAAAGTTGCAGGATACAAGTTTAATATACAAAAGTCAGTTGCTTTCCTGTATATCATCAATTAACAAGTGGAATTTGAAATAAAACACATCATTATTTACATGATCACCTCACAAAATGAACTGTTTAAAATCTAACAAAATATATTCAAGATTCATATGAGAAAATCTACAACATTTAGATGAAAGATACCAAAGAAAACTCAATAGGTGGAGAGATATTCCATGTTCATGGATTATAATAACAAATGTCATCGAGACATCAGTTCTTAACTTGATCTATAGAGTCAAAAAATTCCAATAAAATCCCAACAAGTTATTGTATGAAAATTGGCAAACTGTTTCCAAAGTTTATATGGTAGAGCAAAAGCCCTAGAATAGCCAACTCAGTACTGAAAGAGAAGATGAAAGTCAGAGACACACAAATTTAAAACTTACTATTAAGCTAGAGTAATCAAGACAGCATAATATTGGCAAAATAATTGACCACCCCCCCAAAAAAAATAACCAACAGAAAAAGAACAGAAAACAAAAGAACAGAGACCCCCAGAATAGATCCACATGAATATAATTGATGGATCTTTGACAAAGTCACAACAGTAATTCAAAAGAGCAAAAATTATCTTTTCAACCAATTGTGCTGAAAAACTGGCAATCTAAATGAAAAAATGTGCATATAGACACAGACCTTATACCATTCTTGAAAATTAACTCAAAATGAATTATATACCGAAATGTCAAATGTAAACCTATAAAATTCCTAGAAGATAACACCAGAAAGCCTTGATGACCTTGGTTATCACATGACTTTTTAGAAACAACACCAAAACTACTGCTGGGCAAAAGCCACTGTCAAGAGATTAAGAAGACATGCTACATATTTGGAAAAAAATATTTGCAAAAGAGACATCTGATAAGAATGATTGTGCAATATATAAAAAGAACTCTTAAGGGACAACAATATGAAAATGAATAACCTAGTTAAAAAATGGGCAAAAGACCGAAACAGACACTATGTTTAACAAAGAAGATACACAGGAGACAAGTATGCATGTTACAAGATGTTCGACATTATATGCTATCAAGCTATTACAAATTAAAACAAAAATGATATAACACCGCACAGCTATTATAATAGCCAAGATAAAAAACACTGGCAACATCAGATGCTGGTGAGGATGTGGAACAATAAGAACTCTTACTCTTGCTGGTGGGACTGCAAAATGGTACAGCCACTTTGGAAAACATTTTGTCAATTTCTTAAAAACTGAACATACTCTTACGTTATGATCCAGTTTGGTATTCATTTAAAGGAGTTGAAAATAAGAAACCTGCACACAGATGTTCATAAAAGTTAAATTTATAATTGCCAAAACTTGGAAGCAAACATGATCCGTCAACAGGCAAGTGGATAAACTATGGTACACACAAACAATAAAATACTCTTTAGCTATAAAATAAATGAGCAATCAAGTTATAAAAAGACTTGGAGGTAATTTAAATGCATATAACAAAGTGAAAAAAGCCAATCTGTAAAAGCTATGTACTGTATGATTTCAATTACGTGACATTCTGGAGAAAGGCAAAATCATAGAGACAGTGAAAAAAAAAAATGTTGTTCGCCAGGGATTGAGGAACAAAGGGACAAATATAGGAAGAACACAGGTCCATATTTCTACCCAGATGGTGGAGCCTGATCTACAATTATAGCTGAGGGAGAAGTAGGATTTATTTGGTGCTATTATCTGTGAATAAACGATTGTGAAAACCAAATGCTATTCCATTATTACATAAATGAAGACGTAGAGTAGAATCTTGTTCAACCACATGTATGTATGTTTTCTCCTCTTATTCTTATAATCCTCTATGTTTAAGTATTATATCTGTATATATTGTATACATATATAATTTAAAACTATAATATATATATATAAGTATAAACTAGTAAAATAGATACAGTATGCACACAAGTGTATGTGTTTTCTTCTCTTTATTATTCTTGGTAGTTAAATAAAGAAGACCTTTATTCAACCCTGAAAATGTGTTTGCCTCACTTTGTACATTGCTTAAATTAGTTTCAAAAAGTCCTTTCCAGGAAAATCAAAACCACAATGAGATATCATCTCACCTGAATTAGAATTGTTGTGCCATTTTTTTGCTCCCGTAATTCAGTGAGTGGGAAAGAGTGGTGCCCAGCAGTTTCTTGTCTTCTGCAGATCAGTGAGCAGGATTATGTGGCACCCCGTGGCTTTTCCACTTCTACAGTTCAGTGAACGGGAGGGAGTGGTGCCCAGTGGCTTCGTCTCTCCTGTTGTTCGGTGAGTGGGAGAGAAGGTTACAGCTCTTTTATTTGACCTCTCACAGCTTGGCAGACAGTGGTGTTAGAGCCCTTTCACTCCTACCATTCGGTGAGTTCTGAGTTCTTGTCTTATGACCAAGAGGAATGAGGAACACGGACACCAGAGAGTGAGTAAGGCAGAATAGAATTTCACTGGGTGAAATAAAAGCTCTCAGTAATGAGATGGGACCTGAAGTGCGTAGCTGTCTTTGAGGTCTGGGCTTTTTATGGTCTTAGAATGTGGGAGTGCATGTTGATTGGTTCATGGGTGGGCTTGGAAAGAACACAATTTGATTGGTTAGAAGGCGTCATTTGGAAGGAAACAATCGAGAGGATATGAGTAAGATGGAGATGGAAATTGTTGCTCCAGCCGTGGAATCTATCTAGAACTGGCAGCTCAGTTTTCAGGTTTAGACTGAAACTAAACCTTCAAGTCCTTGGCTTGAAGGTTGGGTTTCACCAGGGACCTGTCTCCATCTGCTTAGGAATGTGTCTGTCTCCTGTCACTATCAGAATGAATTTATTTTAAAAAACAAACATATAGCAAATGCTGGCAAGGATGCAGAGAAAGAACACTTACAGACCATTGGTGGGAAAGTAAAATAGTACAGTATATCAAAGAGATATCCGCACTCCCATGTTCATTGTAGCACAATTCACAATCTCTAAGACATGGAATCAACCTAAATGTTCATCAGTGAGTGAGTAGATTTTTAAAATCTGGTTTATACACACAGTGGGATATTATTTAGCCATTGAAAAATAAAATAAAATACTGTCATTTGCAGCAACACAGATGGAACTGGAGGTCATTATGTTAAGTGAAATAAGCCAGGCATGGAAAGATACACATGTGGGAACTAAAAAAGTGGATCTCATGAAGGTAAAGAATAGAATGGTGGTTACCAGAGGCTAGGAATGGAACAAGGAAGGGGAGATGAAGAGAAGTTGGTTACTGTGTACAAAATACAGTTCGCTAGAAAGAATACATTCTAGTATTTGATAGTAAAGTAGGAAAATTATAGTTAATAATACTTTATTGCATATTTCAAAATAACAAGAAGAGAAGAATTTTGATGTTCCCAATACAAAGAAAAGACAAATGTCTGAGGTTATGGATACTTGACTTACCCTCATTTGATTATTATACATTGTATACATGTAGCATAATGTTATGTATACCCTAAAATATGTATAATTATCATACATAATTCAAAATTTATATAGTCGTTTCCAGAAGCTGAGAGGAGGGGGAAATAGGAGGTACCGTTGATTGGGGATTGAGTTTCACTTTTGCAAGAGGAAATGGTTCTAGAGATCTCTTGCACAAAAATAAGGATATAACACAATTAAATTGAGCATTGGTTATTGGTGGTAAATTTTATGTTGTAATTCTTACTACAATTGAAAATAAAAATGTTTTTAAATATGAGAAATAATTGCAAAACGGGACCTTACTTCTTCCTAATGTATAGGAAAAAGTGATTCTGTAAAAGTCAGAGAAGTAATTCTCTTGTGGGTTTTATTTATTTATTTATTTATTTTGCTTTAGGCTTTGAAGGACACGTAATAATTCAAAAAGATTCAATGATTTCAATAGTAGAGGCAAGCCAATTCAGCTTATGTTATCTCTGCTTTTTCATGTATGCATTTTTATTCTACCTTCTAGAAACAATACATCTTTAAATATGTTCCATAAAGTAAAAAAATTAAAACAATGTTCAAGGCACATAAAGGCCATAATATATAAACTTCCTTTTTAATAGCTGAAATTATTTCACTAAAATATTAATATTACTTCAACTTGAGAATCTTCCCATTTTCCTCTATGCCAAAAACTAGTCAACTTTTTCCATAGAGGGCCAGACGGTAAACATTTCAGACTTTCCAGAATGTGTAGTCTCTGTCACAACAATTCAGCTCTCCCATTGTAGCATGAAAACAATCATAGACAATACTTAAACAAATGGAATGGCTCTATTCCAATAAAACTTTATTTTCAAAACAGGCAGTCAGCCGGATTTGGCCCAAAAGAGATTGCTAACACCTGCTTTATGCCATTTTAAACATATGTCAGAGCTATTTCTTCAAAAGTATCTACTTGAGGATGAAAAGAACCTGAAATTCTGCCATGCTCTGGGAAGTTTTTTCAAATACAGAAAACCATGAAATATTCCAGCATGAAACAACACTGTATTGACAGTTGATCTGAGACAAAAAGCCTTGGATTGACAAAAATTCTGTACTGTGTCTATGTTATATTCCCAAAGGCTAAGGAAAGAATTTCTTTCTAAATAAACTATAAGGTAATTTGGCACATGACAGTAAAGTTGAGTTTCAGAAGACTTTAGAAGTAAATTTTGAATGCCTAAATGGCAACATGTATTAGTTTACATTCAACTTATGTATAAATTTATTTGAAAGGGTATGAAATTCTTTTCACCCTGTTTATCTCTGTGCAGTTAAATTAAAATGAAGGTTACATATTCCAAATATTAGATCTTTAAACTGGAATGAAAATCGCCATCATTAACAGATGGAGGCTTTCCAATATGCAATATAAATAGTTAAGATTTGAACATAATTATGGCTTTGGTAAAACTTTGGTTGCTTATTCCCACTAATTCTATACATTACTTGAGACAATAAGAACCAATTGTTCTCATCCAATGAATTCTTTAATAGAAATAAAATCTTCAATGAAAATATCTTATTATTACTAAATGAGCAGAACTGTACACTGCCATGACATTTATTTCTTTAAATATGCCAAATTAGAAAAAAAGTGGTCAGCACAAAGTTTTATGTATACATGAATTTGCATTTTGGCACCAAATTGTGCATATATGAACTTTTAAAAACTCAAATGTTATCAATATTCTAATTGAAGATTGATCATTGATAGCTTCTGTGATGAAAATTGATTAAACTACTCTGCCATAATTAATGGTACACAATAAAGGCTTTGTTACCTAAAGATCCTTCTACCATCTGATTTGACTTCATTTTGTCAACCTTGAAGAAATAATTACCTACACTTACTAGTTCAAAAACACATGGAAAAGTCACCTCTAGTTATCACTTGAGAATGAATGGAAAAGTTTTCTAGGGGAAGTAAGATGATTTACAAAGCTTAACATCTGGGGTACAATTTTAAGTGGGAATAGATTTCCGTTATAGTCTTATGTTTTTATGAAAAAGACAGCATTCAGCTGATGCAATTCTCCCCATTGTGGAATCCTAACTCTGCTTTTCATTTTAACAGATCCAGATAGTAATGAATTTCAGTTCATATTACAACCACAGTTTTTGGAAAATGATTGTCAGTGGGGCAGCTATTTAGACTCAATGAAGTTGTAAATTTCTCTGGGAATCAAAAGATCTCTAATTTGGTCCAAAGAGAAAATTATAATCAGAAAAATATCCCAAAATAGTGCTAATAAAATAAATACTGAATATTCTCTCCTTTTTACATAACTAGAAATTACTATGGTCACAGAATTTTAGAAAAAGAATGCCACCATTTGTGAGAAATTGAAAAATAATGGTGTTTATCCCATCCTGATATACACTAAATAGTGTGGGGTTTCATATGATTTTGAATACAATTAAGGCAAAGTAGTCTTATAAATTACCTTTTAACCATGTACAATAATTTTTATTTTAAAAATAAAATATTGGGTGGGTGTGGTGGCTCAAGCCTGTAATCCCAGCACTTTCGGAAACCAAGGTGGGTGGATCACTTGAGTTCAGGAGTTCAAGACCAGGCTGATCAACACGGTGAAACTCCGTCTCTACTAAAAATACAAAAAAAAAAAAAAAATTAGCCAGACAAGGTTGTGCCTGCCTGTAATCTCAGCTACTGGGGAGGCTGAGGCTGAGGCTGAAGAATCTCTTGAACTTGTTTTTGAACAAAAAAAAGTCAACATAAGATTTCATTATATATATATATATATGTGTGTATATTTATATATATATATATATATGCACGATAGAATCTTCATCTGTCACTCAGGATGGAGTACAGTGGCATGACTGTGGCTCACTGCAGCCTTGAACTCCTGGACTCAAGTGTTCCTCCCACTTTGGCCTCCCAAAGTGCTAGGAGCCACCACACCAAGCCTATTGAATTTTTAATTTAACCAAGTACAAAGGGAAAAGAGACACTGAATAGAGTAGTCAGTTGAACTGGTACATAATATGTCAAATATAATAAAACAATAATTACTTGTCCTGATGTTCATGAACCTCATTCTATAAAATAATTGTTCTTGGCCAAGTGAAATCCAAAATATTAATTTTCTCTAGAAAACTTAGTGAAAGTTGCCACTATATGATTTTTCTTTTGAAATTAAAGTTTGTGGGAGTTTTTTGTAGCTACAGGAATATCACAACACTTGCTACTGTAAGTCTTACTTACACAACAAATGCAGATTCCCTGTTAATCAAGGAAATTATTGATTGTGATAATTGATGAGTGATAACAGTGCAAATGTTGTTGAGGTCAAACAAGTTGGCAAGGAAAATACGTTGTATCAATTCACTGAATAGTCGAAATAATCGTAATTTTAGTAGTTACTCTTTAGAGAGTTCTTATCATCAACTAGGCAAAGTCCTGTACATGATAATAGCTAACGTACATTGAATATTTATACTACTTGCCAAATTTAGTACTGAGCACTTTTCTTCATCAAAATGGTAGGTAAAATCCTACCTGATATCCATCACTGGCCCCCATACCTCAGATAATTCTCTCCATTTGCCTGTGGGTGGAGTACATAAATATGATGCTATGCCACCACAATAATTAGGTTGCACTACAAGACAAAGGTAAGGGAATTTAGCAGATGTAATAAAGAATCCAAATTCATTGTTTAGGAGTTGATCAAAAGGGAGAATTTTCTAGGTTAGCCTAACTTAATCAGGTAGGGTAAAATCTCATAAAAGAATGACTAGATCATTTTTGAAAAGAGGAAATTGTTGGCCTTGAAAAATTAAACTGCTATACTGTGAAAGGGCGGGTGAGAGGATCTCCCTGCTGAGAGCCAGAAAGAAAACAGGGATGGCAGTCCGACAACCAGGAGGAAATGAATTTTGCCAATAACTAGATGACCTTGAAAGAGCACTGGAGCTCCAGGAAGATATATAACCTGGCCAATACTTACAATTCTATGAGACCCTAAACAGAGGACCCAGTTAGGCATATTTAGACCCCCGACCTACAGAAT